GGTCCTGCTGCTGGGTTGTTGCCCTCCTACGGCCTCCTCCACGTCTCCTGATGTACTGGCCTGTCTCCTGGTAGCGCCTCCATGCTCTGGACACTACGCTGACAGACGCAGCAAACCTTCTTGCCACAGCTCGCATTGATGTGCCATCCTGGATGAGCTGCACTACCTGAGCCACTTGTGTGGGTTGTAGACTCCGTCTCATGCTACCACTAGAGTGAAAGCACCGCCAGCATTCAAAAGTGACAAACATCAGCCAGGAAGCATAGGAACTGAGAAGTGGTCTGTGGTCACCACCTGCAGAACCACTTCTTTATTGGGGGTGTCTTGCTAATTGCCTATAATTTCCACCTGTTGTCTATTCCATTTGCACAACAGCATGTGCAATTTATTGTCAATCAGTGTTGCTTCCTAAGTGGACAGTTTGATTTCACAGAAGTGTGATTGATTTGGAGTTACATTGTGTTGTTTAAGTGTTCCCTTTAATTTTTTTGAGCAGTGTATTTTCCTCCATCCTTGCTTGGTAGTTTTCCTCCATCATTTGAACCTGTGTGATAACCAGCTCAGAGGTGGTGTGGTGCCTTTTTATGTGTTTAAATGAATACTCTATGTATGGCATGGTCTTCCATTTATTGCTCCCGGAAGCTTTAAGAATGACAGGTAAAGGAATAGAAGGGCACATCTCTCTGAAAATAACATTCTCAACCTAAAGTATGTGATGTGAGCTATAATAAGCAACTCCTGTTTACGTTCTTGGCCGATTCTGTGTGCATGCTATGGATCTCTGAACTTGTGTCATGGTGACAGTGTACTATCTGAACAATATCCTACCTGATATTGAATACACCAATATTGAAGTAACTTTTGAAAGCACAAATCCAAAGATGGAACCATATTCTTTAATGTCACCTCAAGGATGGCTCTCTCAATGCTGTGGCGGTTAGAGCCAAGAAGAGTTAGAGAGAGGGGGTCATGGAGATGAGGAAAGCATGGGGTTGGATGGTCAGTACCAGTACTGTAGTTTCTCAGAAGTCTGAGCATATCAATTCAGATTGTTTCAATTGTATGTATTTCTAATTAGACTCGCTAGCTATGGAGAATATATAAAGTTGTGAAAATCCTATTGGGGTACAGTAATAATGATAATATATTGGTTGTAATTGTGTGGAGTGTTTTTGTATTAGACTGATTGAAAGTAGGAGTTTCTTAGTAGCGGTGTGTAGTGTTAATAGTGTGACCATGCTGTTGGAAGTGCTGTAATATAACATGCGTTGTCTGATGTTAGCATTAGGGCGTGGTGGATCATCCTCTTTATACTTACCTCTGAAATGGAGAAAGAAGACGAGTGCAATAAACCTCTTATTTATCATTTGCTTCCTCAAGTGAAATAACATGTCCTCTGTTTTCAAGGCCAAAAACAAAAGACTTTCTGTAGCTGGCAGTGGGATTGGAACCTCTCCTTGCTGCTCGGCGTCCAGAGAAGTGGCACTTGTTAGAGTCTAGAATGTGGAATTGCATTCTTAGGACTGTGATTTTGATATTTAAGTATCAAAGCTGCTTGCTCATAAGGGAGACCATGCACAAGATGATTTGACTGATAGATTAACAGTGTATGTTTTTGTTCTAGCATTTGGATGGCATTTTATGGAGTGAATCTCCTTGAATCTGAAATGTTTTGCTTGCATGTGTAGGTGTGTGTGTGTATGTATGCATCATCCTCCGTATCAAATTATGGTTTTTTTGGCCGTAAATTAAGTGGTTTAAAGGAATTATGAAATGCCTTATCTTGTTTTCAGAAGAAACATTAAGGGAGACCTCCCATTCAACCCCCCCCCTCACTAAACAGGGGTGTGCATCTTTCACAATCTTACTACTTGCTTGGTGTGTGAAACTTGTACAGTTCAGGAAATTGTCTCAACTTTTTAAAGCTGTTCTGATCTTCACTGTACATGTGTAATGTTGTTTGGGGGGGGGGGGGGGGGGGGGGCGGCGTGTTTTAAAATGGTGACCCAATCATATTAAGAAAACGATGTAAGACTTCTGTAGGAATTCTTAAACATTACAAGCAACAATATTTAAAAGATAAATGCTTTTATAGTGTTCTACGTGTGTTTTTGTTAGTTGAAGCAAGTAAGCAGACAATGGAAATGAAAAGGTAGCTAATAAATAGTGTAGCAGTATCGTATGAACAGCTCAGTGCCTAGGGTAGGACGTGTATACCTGCTGTACACACCCCTTTGACATGTTGGAGGCCCTTTGACACACCCTTTTGACATGTACTATGTTGGAAGCCCATACGATATTGGTTGTAGAATAACGTTACCCTTGAAATGACCATTTTTAACCAGTAGAGGAAGGAAATATTTGAAAACCATGTTTGCCATTACAGCAGTAATTTGCTGTAAAAGCAATTTAGACTTACTCTTAGAATAAGCACAGGGTCAATATCATATCCTGAGCCATACAATGGCAATTGTTAGCTCACTGGAGTGTAGACTGCTATTGGGAATTGCCTTCAGATGTGTGGTCACCGACGGTCACCATCTCCATAATGGTGACTCACCTAGAGCTCAATGATTAGGACATTATCAGTTGGAGGTACACTATGGCTTGTGTGCTCCCTGAGCAATACATGGGAAAAGGATGTATTCATTGGGTATATCCTGTGACATTTGTTGGCACCTCTGCTGTTTAGTTCTTTCTTCTGCAGCACCCTAACTGAATGTGAACTGATAAAGACAGATTAGGGGTTAGTTGCCTGTTTTACTCAGTGGCTTATCTGTTGTAAATACCTTTTGAGTGGACCCCATACCAGGAGAGTGGGAGGAGTCAGAATCAGGGCACATGATTAGTTACAATCAAATGGTTTCTCAATGCACCTTTTTAAAATTAGATTTGTTTTTTGCAAGCTTTGCTGTTGGGTAACACATTCTAAACTGCTTTGCTGGTGAATGGTAGTATCTTTGACACCTGACAGGCCTACATGTTGCTGTATTTTTTCCAGCGGAAGGAACGATTTCCTATTTAACTCTTGATTACCTCATTTACAAATCTTCAAATACTATTCTACTGTGAGTAGAAAATGCCATCACCAGCATGTGCTCTAGACCTGTGATGACAATGACACTAGGACCAATGACGTAGCTCCATTTCAAAATTAATGAATTCAAACATGGACAGTCAAGGAATATAAACATGCCTCTCACTTACTACAAATTATATAAGGTTGGTACATATAATGGTATTATCCATGTAAATAAACTTGTTTGCATTTCTTGCGGTTTTCAGTAGTAGCATTTTTCCTACCTCCTATAAGTTGTAGCGTTGAGTTAATCTCCACCTGTTTTGACATACAAATACACAGTAGCCTATGAGAACTTTAGAATTTTACCATGAACAATTATAATTCAACATGAAGTGTGCTTGATTGTATGTATAATTGTGTGTTCAACATGAAAGTATTTATGAAAAACATGTATACAACAAAATACCACTGGGATGTGAAGCCAGACTGTGGTATGATGCTGTTAACGATTGTCTTCTACCCACTCTAAGATGGTGTAGACATTCATTTTGACTGATGTGCTCCTTGCATAGCAAAACCCCTTATTTTGGGGATGAATTACATAAATGAGTACATTTGGCTTTTTATTTTTTTGTCTTGAACAACCCCCATCTCCTTTCTCGATTCCTCTGCAGATGTACAAATGTTTTCATGTTGTACTCTACATCTTAAAGTTTACAGCTTCCTGGAATGTGAATGTTTGTTGGGTTAGTTATTGCATACGTACGTACAGCTGATTTTGGTACTATCATAATATATATTTTTAACAGGTTGTCATGGGGGAGTCAGGTTATATGCACATTATTATATTCTGTATGAGGGTGAGTTTTGTTCCCCTCACGCCATATGCCTTCAAGAACACTAATCCACTCCAAACCACCATAATCTCTGTGTAGCTGCTTTAATTCCATGGGAATAGGGGACAAGGTGAGAGGTCATATTTCTAACCAGACAGACCCTCGCCCTGCCCCTCATTCCCATCCACCTCTCTACCCACTATCCCTCCAAAACCTCAAGCCATTTCTTTATTTGACAATGCAATTGATCCTGAAAGCACTTTGCCTTGTTATTCTATTGTGTGGACAATGTAAATGGTAATTTGTTACAAAATGTTATGTTAAAGATCATTCACAATTTTGGAAGAATCTGCATCGGTCTTTCTGACACTAAAATAATTTTAAAGGATTTAAACATTTAACCTAAATCTCTTTTATACAATGTTTGCTGCAGCCAGTTGGTCTTGTCATTCAGTATTGTGGCTTAGGGTTGGTTGTATGTTGAAATAAAGTGCTATTGCTAAATATTCGATGCAACGTGTTTATGATTTGATTCCTAGATGTATAACCAGTGAGAAGTGCTCTAGAGTCATGTTCAGATATAAAAAAGGCCACATTTATTGGTGAATTGCTGACATGGTTATACAGTATTCAAGATTTTAAAAACAAGACATTTCATTGGATATTGAAACTTCATATGCTTTACATTCTTCTATTCCTGCCTGTGTGGTTCAACCACTGCAAATCATTCTGAAATAATAGGATTGACTCCCATTGATTTATTATGGAAATCAATGTTCATATAGAAACAGTAAAAAACAAGTAGCATAGTACATTAAAAAAATTAAAGGTTCAGCAGAGTATCATCTCATCTAGTCCTGCAAGGCTGACTTCCACGTGTGGTTTACATTAACCATCATCCTGTGTGGCTCAGTTAGTAGAGCATGGTGCTTTCAACGCCAGGATTGTGGGTTCAATTCCCACGGGGGACAAACAAGAAATGTAAGTCACTCTGGCTAAGAGCATTTGCTAAATGTAAAATATCATGCCTCAGAGGATGTTTACACAGACCAATTCTGATCTTTTTCCACTAATTGGTCTTTTGGCCAATCAGATCAGATCTTTTCCCAATAATTGGGCAAAAGATCAGAATTGGGCTGTCGGCGTAAACACGTCCAGAGTGCTCTGAAAGCGAAGCTGGTACTTATTGAGGTCATCTTAAATCATGTTTTTCAGCCTTTAGTAGTAAAGTAATGTAAATTACCTCCTGGACCGAAGTCTACTCTGATAAGAAGTCATTTGGTATTGGCCATTTGCACTTCAGTTGAAAGAGTATCCAATCCAGTGGTTTACAATCACCATCAGAACCTCAGGTGATTTAGAATCTGATCCACTCATATCCTTCCCATTGAATCAGACGTCACCCAGGTTGAAGGCGATATGGTCCTCAAACAGAGCGATACACAGCATGATCGCACCCCCTGCCAACAAGCCTAGGTTCTGTAGCAGGAAGCGAGTCCAGGGTCCCATCGGGCCAGGATCACCATGAAGCATCTCGGGCAACTATTGAGCAAGAGGAGAAAATATGACAAATGCAACATTATTAAACTGAACAAATTAATAGACTTGTCTGTAAAATGCCTTTTCACACTACTATGCTGTGCTGGCCTGGTTACGCAACCACTATAGTTGCTGGAACCATGCTGGAAAGGACGATGTGAAAAGGAAATATCCGAGCCAGCAGAGTGCGGTTCAGGTTGGCCCGATAATGTGAAAAGGGTACAAGTGTGGAACTCCTTCCACTGTAGACTAGTGACTCACCATGTCAGCGAGGGCCACATAGAGGAAGACCCCAGCGGTGAGGGTGAGGATCCAGGGGGAGATGTGGGCTGACTGGTGGCCCAGGACAGAGCCAGTTAGCAAGCCCATGAAGCCCAGTAGGGCTGACACAGCACTGAAGAGAACCAGTCTGCGAACAGGCCACCCTGCTCCCAGCAGCACTGCCAGGTCACCTGCACAGATAGACAACACAATGCATCCATTTGATAGTCTCATACTCATTACAGAGCAGAAGTCTGCTAAATGGCATATTATTATTATTATTATTAAGTCTACCTGAAACGTTCTAGTACCAGGCTTAAACTTTTGAAGGGCATGTCGATGTGCAATGCTTTTATGTGTTGCACCCATCTGTTTTTACATGCACATCACAGAAAGGTGAGATGTTCGTGTATACCTACCTAGCTCGTGAGGAAGCTCATGGCAGAACACAGCTACAGTGGTGCTGAGACCTCCAGCCAGACTCTGAGAGAATGCTGCACCAATGGCCAGTCCGTCAGTAAGGTTGTGGACCCCATCTCCCATAACCACCATCCACACCAAGCTTCCTATCCCAACCTGCTCCTGGCCAGGCGGGCCGTGTGAATGACCATGACTGTGCTGCTCAGAGGGATGTGTCTGCTCAGGAATGGTGGGGCCTGAAGAACAGGGGAGAGATGAGAAAGATGTTTTACAATGCAACGGTTCAACTTTGCCAATACAGACATAAATGTGCTTATAAAGTTACATAAGTATTACATTCCACCAACTCACTCTGCAGAGCAGTAAGCTCCCTCTCTGGGTCAGGATTTAGACTGTTGTTCTGCTGCATCCTCTTCCTCTTAGCCTTCTGATGACAAAAACAATTTAAACAGTCCATGTGAGTGAAACATTTACATCAGGAATACAAGACTAAACTATAACCTCTTTTCCATCAGATAATATGACTTAGGGAGAATCTCAATTGCATACACCTCGCGTCCTCAACCTCTTCAAAACCCATTGGAGAAGGTCAGAGGGGCGGGACCTCTGGCTTTCTCATCCAATGGGTTTTGAGAAGGAGGTGAGGAGAGAGGAGGACCGAAGAAGTATGCAATTGAGAATTTCCCAATGACTGCTATGCACAGTGTATCATAAAACAGTGACAACTTCAGACTCTCCCATTTATTCTCTAAATCCAGCTAACCTTATAATGGGTCCTCAGTCCTAGAAGGCTCTCAAAGATGAAGAGGAGGTAGCACCCTCCCAGCACACAAAGGCCCTTCAGTATGGAGTCCTGTTCTTCAGAGTGGCTTGAGAGTGGCCCAGTCTTGGCCTGCAGGACACAGATACAACGTGTTTAATTTTAGACTTACATTTACTACTAGATTTTACAACTTAACCCTCCATGACTAAACAGAGACAGTAGCACTGGTATGTATGTAGTGTTTGACAGTTTGGAAGGGTGTTTACATGAGGCAGGAGATGCAGCATGGCATCGCCACACAGCGTCCCCACAGCCAAGGCTGTCATTGGGCAGAGGAAGGAGCGTAGGCGGGCAGGGGGCAGAAGGGGAACCAGGCTCAAAGACAGCAGAGACGGCAGGCTGATCACAGCCAGAGCTAAGGAGCTCCATCCCAAAGCTGCGAAAAAAAATAAAAAAAAAATATTAATTTTGATGATGTATTCATTCTGCTTAAACAATAGGGTATTGTAGTTTCCAGGGTTCTGTTAAGTCTTAGTGTATCCTAACTGTTAAGTTACACCCCTGTGCTCCAAGTTGTAAAGAGCTACATTGCCTTTTGAAACATCCTATATCGATAAATCATTCCCTCTCATTGCTGGTATGTAGTTTCATAAATGCACCTTTGAGGAAAGTCACACTCCTTTCTGACTCTGCCCCATCAGTCTCTGGGTGGCGTAGACACACGCCACTCTCAATCTGGTACAGCAGAGCTGGGCACAAGAGGGTGAAGTGGGCAGGAGTGATGTGGGATGCCTTTCCCAGACCGAAATTCCACAAGAGCTGAGTAACGTTCAGACACTGAAAAGGAAAGGGTTAAAAGTATTCAATGTCCACAGAAACTGTTTATATAAGGGGAATGTTTTAATAGTGGATTTTCTCATTAACTCCCTTTAAATAACAATGTCAAATAAAAACCTGAGAGGATAACATTTTGCCAAGAACAGTAAGCAGAAGTGAATTGTAAACTTTGTGCGTTTGGCACAAAACATTAACCAGATCAATTGTCTTTTATTAACTACTCACGTTCCCATGAAGATGCCTCTGAGTGGGGTGATTTGACACAAGGGAGTCAAACATTCCTTGGACAGGAATAGTGTGTGCAATAGGGGATGACCACGGAAGGACCTCTTCCTTAATCAAGTGATCAGAGGATAATGTGTTGCCCTCTTTAGACCTAGATCCAGCAGACCCCGATATCCCAGGGTGTGGGGTTCTTTCAGAGGGGGTTAAGAAGAGGCAGCACAGTTTATTCAGGTGACATTGCGTAACTAACTATTCATAACCTGATGATGAAACTTCAGTACTTCAAAAGCGGCTGTATATCTAACAATCATGGGACCAAATCAGTTGTAATATCTGTCTCTGACCTGGCTGCGTTTGCAGAGGGGGATGGTTGAATAGGCCTCCTTGGACTGGGGGTGTCTGTTTCCTGATCGTCATGGTCATGAGATTGTGTATTTGGAGGGGGAGGTGGTGTCAGAGTGTTATGGTTGTGCCTCGACCCTCGGTGGCTGATCTCCAACACACTGACCTGCCCTAGTCCCAGGCTGCCCAATAACTTCTGCAGGCCCTTATAGGACAGGGTCCCGTTTTCTCCATAATGATGGAACAGACGCTGCAAGTAGAAGACCTGGAAAAAAAGACAGGTATTGACAAGAGTAAATGGACAGCTGAAATGATTGGCAAGTGCGATAATCATCAGTGGTAATAATACTGAAATTATTAAACTATTAGAATAGCTAGGCTACTTTATATTTTTACCAATGCACAAAATAGATTTAGTGTTGTTGACAGCAGTGTCTCAAAGGTTAACTTGTGAACTTATCAACGCTAAATTACATAATCTTCATAATATTGCTGTAAAGTGAAGTTGTTGTAACACTGATCTATTGAGGCCAAATTCAGATATTTCAGAGACCTGGAGACAATACAAACTGGCATAGGCTGTCTTCCACAATGTTCTCACCTGCTCTTCAAAAGCCTCATCTAAATGTTCAGATGTCGATCCCTCTTGTCGGCTTCCATTTGATATCCTGTCTGTCATATTCCATGGTGTTCTCACTGTGCCACTGAGAGACAGTCGCGCCCCTGCCCCAAACTCCAGCAGAGGCAGACATACAAATAGTCCTAGCGCGAGCGTCAGTAGCGGTGACATCCTATAAATTAACTGCAAAAAGGAATATGAAGAGGCAAGTTTATTAAAGTCACGTACCGTGTAAAGCCTTAATAAGTCCTAAATGAATGTTGCCAGTTTGTTCATCATTTAGTCCGCAAAATTGAAACTGTTCAGTTGCTGAATGCCAAACATTTTACAGTCCCCGAACCTACAAATTCTTTAAAAAATGTAGGCCTATAGGCTACTCACGTGGGTTGTTCGTTGTTGTTTTCCCCAGTCTCGAAATACATATTATTTTGCCCTGCTGCTTAGAGGATTGAAGAGCCTGGGGGAAGTCTTTTGTTTTTCTGAGTTAATATTATAACAACTCGTTCATTTACAGCCGAGTCATGAAATAGATAAGGGAGGCCGCAAAGCATTGATAACGCCAATTGACCTACCTTCTCCAATGCCCAAGCTCACGGCACGTGAGAAATGTTCCTAACCTCAATATATCCATGTCCTGGCTAGAACATAGTTGCAATAAAGAGAATGGCGTCTTTTTGTAGCCACTGACAGTGGCTAACACTGCCATGTCTCGTTGGCCAAAGCATATGGGGAAATGAATGGGGGTTTTGTATAAACGCCGAAGGTCTGTGGTAAACACAGGTTTAGGAGATCATATACGTTTTGTTCTATGAGTTAATCTTCATCAGCTGTACATTTTGAAGTATTTATGTAATCAAAACAAGCACATAAAAGCTTCATAATTCATAAAGGTAATGTTAACTGACTGATATTATCTCAGAACAAAACGTATAACATCTCCTAAGCCTGTGCATGTTAACCTCAGACCTTAACCACACTGCTAACCATATGCCTAACCATACCCTTAAAATTAAGACCAATGGACCAGAGGTTGAAAATACTAACTAATTTCCGTTTTTTAGGACTACAAGCTTGTAGTCCTAAAATACGGAAACGAGTTTCCTCTTGGTTGTTCAGCCATTCCTATGGGGGGAAAGAATTGAGTTTTGGGATAAACGCCGAAAAATAACGTCTGAGGTTAACACAGGTTTAGGAGATCGTATACATTTTGAGAAGATTATCTCATAGAACAAAACCTATACGTTTCAAGTTTTATTAGTCGTATGTACAGGATACACATGGTATACCCCGTCCAATGAAATGCTTACTTGTAGGTTCCTTCTCGACAATGCAAAAACAATACAAAATAAGAAAAGATACAAATACGAACATAAAGTAAATGGCTCAGAATAATATAATAAACATTTTAGCATAAGTATAATACAGGAAGGCACAATTTATAGTCCAATATTTGCATGTGTTTGGGGGAAGGGGGGAAGGGGGATTGGGGGTCAAGAGTTTAAATTGTGCAGTATTTAGCAATCATAATAAGAGCCTTGTAGCAGCAGTTGTGATGTGTGTGTAGCATGAACTTATGTGTGTGTGGATGTCTGTGTGGGTGTGTGCATGAGTGAGTGCATGTGTGCTTAGGTGCGGAGAATCAGAGCAGGTGGTCAGTCCAGTTCAAGTGTTCAGCAGTCTGATGGCTTGTAGATAGAAACTGTTGGTATCAGACCTCATGTTCCGGTAACATCTGCCTGACGGTAAGGGAGTGAACAACTTGTTGCTGGGGTTTGTGGGGTCCTTGATGATGCTGTCTTCACGCACCGTTTCGAGTAGATGTCCTGGATGGGTGGGAGCACAGTCCCAGTGATGTACTGGGCCGTCTTCACTTCCCGCTGGAGGGCCTTGCAGTCATGGACAGAGCAATTCTCATACCAGGCCGTGATGCTACCGGTTAGGATGCTCTCGATGATGCAGCGGTAGTATTTGGAGAGGACCCGGGGTGGCATGCCGAATTTCTTCAGCCGCCTTAGGAAGTAGAGACGCTGTTGCGCCCTCTTGACAACAGTGGTGATGTTGCTGGCCAAGTTCTCGGTGATGTGGGCCTCCTGTAGCTCAGTTGGTAGAGCATGGCGCTTGCAACGCCAGGGTTGTGGGTTCGATTCCCACGGGGGGCCAGTATGAGGAAAAATTGAGAAAAAAAATGTATGCACTCACTAACTGTAAGTCGCTCTGGATAAGAGCGTCTGCTAAATGATTAAAATGTAATGTGGACGCAGAGGAACTTAAAACTGTTTACTCTCTTTACTGCAGTCCAGTTGATGTGGATCAGGGCATGTTCCCTCGTCTGCTTCCTGAAGTCAACAATCAACTCTTTTGTTTTGCTGACGTTGAGGGAGAGGTTGGTGTCCTGGCACCACAATGCCAGTTCACTTACCTCCTCCCTATAGGCTGACTTGTCATTTATGTTTATCAGGCCAACAACCGTGGGGTCGTCTGCAAACTTGATGATGGAGTTGGTGTCGTGCAAAGCCATGCAGTCGTGGGTGAACAGGGAGTACAGCAGAAGGCTGAGGCCACACCCATGGGGGTGTCCTGTGTTAACAGTCAGTGTGGAGGAGGTGTTGTTGGCAATCCTCACAGCCTGTGGTCTGTCCGTCAGGAAGTCCAGGATCCAGTTGCAGAGGGAGGTGTCCAGACCCAGGGCTCTGAGCTTGGTGTCGAGCTTGGAGGGAACAATAGTGTTGAATGCTGAACTGTAGTCAATGAACACCATTCTTACATAGGTGTTCCTCTTGTGCAGATGTGTTACGGCCGTGTGAATAGCAATGGAAATGGCATCTTCTGTGGATCTGTTGGAGTGGTAGGCAAATTTGAGTGGGTCCAGTGTGCCTGGTATGCTGGCCTTTATGTGGGCCATGACCAGCATCTCAAAGCACTTCATGATGACCAGGGTGAGTGTGGCGGGGCGGTCATCATGAAGTGCTTTGAGAGAATGGACATGGCCCAGAGGGCCAGATGGTGGTAGGTCTGATCACCGACGACAATGAGACAGCCTATAGGGAGGAGGTCAGGGACCTGGCATTGTGGTGCCACGACAACAACCTCTTCCTCACCGTCAGCAAGACAAAGGAGCTGATCGTGGACTACAGGAAACGGAGGGCCGGGTTGTAGTGGACCGGGTTGAGAGCTTTAAGTTCCTCGGTGTTCATATCACTAAGGATCTATCATGGCCCAAACATACCAACAAAGTTGTGAAGAGGGCTAGACAACGCCTCTACCCCCTCAGGAGGCTGAAAGGATTTGGCATGGGCCCTCAGATCCTCAAAAAGTTATACAGTTGCAACATTGAGAGCATATTGACTGGCTGCATCACCGCTTGCTATGGCAACTGCATCTGACCGCAAGGCACTACAGAGGGTAGTGCAGACGGCCCAGTACATCACTGGGGCCGAGCTCCCTGCCATCCAGGACATCTATACCAGGCGGTGTCAGATGAAGGCCCTACAAATTGTCAAAGAGTCCAGCCACCCAAGTTACAGACTGTTCTCTCTGCTACCGCAGGGCAAGAGGTACCGATGCACCAAGTCTGGAACCAACAGGACCCTGAACAGCTTCTACCTCCAACCATACGACTGCTAAATAGTTAGTTAAAAAGTCACATACGCTGCTGCTACTGTTTACTATCTGTCACTTTATTCCTAGTTATATGTACATATCTACCTCAATTACCTCATACCCCTGCACATCGATACTGATTGTGTATCTATCATTACTTTTACTATTTAGTGTTTTACTTTTCAATTATGTCTCTATTTTCTTTCTCTCTGCATTGTTGGGAAGGGCCTGTAAGTAAGCATTTCACTGTTAGTCTACACCTGTTGTTTACGACGCATGTAACAAATAAAATGTGATTTGATTTGACAAGTGTTGAATTGATTGAATTTCCACAAAAAGAATAGCCTAATTATCTCAACCTTTCTGGTGATAGGACTACTGTATGCAAGTTGTTATCACTTAAATGTTGAAGAATACATTACAGGTAAATAGTAAAATCTCACGTAAAATGTCTTAATGAAAGACAAGGATGAGTAGGCCTAATGGGATAATAGATTATGAGTCTGACTATGACAGTCAGAAAAGTCCAGAGGAGAATTCTCTCTTCAACCCCAGAGCCAGCTTTGCTGGTTCATCTATGGCCCCTGGGATCCAAAATATGATGGTGGTCTAGACCCAGGCCTGACAAGAGGCATAGTCACCCTCACAAAAAAAAAAGAGAACGCAGAGGACAGTGATCAGTACAGAGGACAATGCCCCCAAGTGGGTAGTCTCCCAAAGCACCCTAGGAGTCAGCCACTTCCACAGGAAGCAGGAGGCCCCGAAGGGCACCAAGCTTGAGGGCCCACATCCAATGACACATGTTGAATTACAAACCAGATTTAGTGATTATTGCCCCTCAAAATGAAATTGATGCACCAAGTCTGGAACCAACAGGACCCTGAACAGCTTCTACCTCCAACCATACGACTGCTAAATAGTTAGTTAAAAAGTCACATACGCTGCTGCTACTGTTTACTATCTGTCACTTTATTCCTAGTTATATGTACATATCTACCTCAATTACCTCATACCCCTGCACATCGATACTGATTGTGTATCTATCATTACTTTTACTATTTAGTGTTTTACTTTTCAATTATGTCTCTATTTTCTTTCTCTCTGCATTGTTGGGAAGGGCCTGTAAGTAAGCATTTCACTGTTAGTCTACACCTGTTGTTTACGACGCATGTAACAAATAAAATGTGATTTGATTTGACAAGTGTTGAATTGATTGAATTTCCACAAAAAGAATAGCCTAATTATCTCAACCTTTCTGGTGATAGGACTACTGTATGCAAGTTGTTATCACTTAAATGTTGAAGAATACATTACAGGTAAATAGTAAAATCTCACGTAAAATGTCTTAATGAAAGACAAGGATGAGTAGGCCTAATGGGATAATAGATTATGAGTCTGACTATGACAGTCAGAAAAGTCCAGAGGAGAATTCTCTCTTCAACCCCAGAGCCAGCTTTGCTGGTTCATCTATGGCCCCTGGGATCCAAAATATGATGGTGGTCTAGACCCAGGCCTGACAAGAGGCATAGTCACCCTCACAAAAAAAAAAGAGAACGCAGAGGACAGTGATCAGTACAGAGGACAATGCCCCCAAGTGGGTAGTCTCCCAAAGCACCCTAGGAGTCAGCCACTTCCACAGGAAGCAGGAGGCCCCGAAGGGCACCAAGCTTGAGGGCCCACATCCAATGACACATGTTGAATTACAAACCAGATTTAGTGATTATTGCCCCTCAAAATGAAATTGGGGGACTGTGGATCTGTCTCCGTCCCCATTCGTTTGTGTGTTAGTCACACGCGATATTTCAGACAGTACTGGCCCGATTTGGAAGAAACTTGGGTGAGTGATGCGTCTTGCAATAGCGATCCTGCATTTACAAAATAGCAATGATTGGCCCAATTCCGGAGCTATATAGTAGTTAACTGAAATGTGTTAGTCACACGCGATATCTCAATTGGCTCAAGGGGGGGCGCTGCATCATTGGTGGGGGACGACATGTTTACTGTTGCCTTGTGTTGGGTTCTATTTTTCTCATAATTGGATCTGTATGTGATGAATAACTTAGAAGGAATGCATTAATGAGGAGCATAGGTTTGTACTATACTGATATAAATTGTTTCACATAACAGGCTGTGATTCATGTAAGGAACGTTAGGGGAAGGATAGATAAGACTTGTATTTCTCACAGATACGAACACTGCTTCTTTGTGATCTGTGAACCTTCCAAGGACATGGGTACTGCAAAAAAAGTGCTGACTCTACAGGTTATTATGATAGCAACTTATGCCTGGGAACGGTGGAGTGCCAAGGGGTGGAGCGCCAAGGGGTGGAGCGCCAAGGGGTTGGGACTAACCCGTGCGCCAACGGATTGGCTGAGTAAAGTCTAAACCACACTCAGTCCTTTACTCTGATTGGCCAACAGAAGAGGTGGGAACTCTCTGTCAGAGTATTTGAGAAAGTACCTGTAAACAATGGCTTAGTTCTCTGTCTGCCCTGCGTGGTTTTTCAGTGAGCCCGTATACGAACCTTCATACTTATCATACATACATTTTGCATATAATAAATTTAGCTTGGATTGAATATCTCTTGATTATGTTTTCTCTTATTCCAATACCAGATTTGAATTACGCAATTTCTAACAATTGGTGACCTCCGACTGTGATCTGGTAGCGGAACTTCGCTGGAATTCACCCAGCCTATTGGACATCACTGTCGTCGAACTGTGTGTTTCACAAAGTGCCCGGGCTTCTAAAAACACAGGTAAGCAGACACCCATTGTTAAATAACTAAAGTTCTGCATATTGGCTTTATCCAAATTAATTTTGTGAAACACCTGTTTGATGTAAGTGAACCCTATTGTACTATAAATAACAATTACAGTATACTACTTCGATTTCATAATATACTATGCAAATGCTTGATAATTGTGATGGTTAAACCCATGGGAGTGTGAGCTATGACTGAAGGCTCATAGGAGGTACTTTAAAATAGTTTAGACAGTGCGAGTTACGACTAGAGGCTCATAGGGGGTACTTTAAAATAGTTTAGACAGTGCGAGCTATGACTAGAGGTTCATAGGGGGTACTTTAAAATAGTTTAGACAGTGCAAGCTATGACTAGAGGCTCATAGGGGGTACTTTAAATTAGTTTAGACAGTGCGAGCTATGACTAGAGGCTCATAGGGGGGTACTTTAAAAGTTAGACAGTGCGAGTGTTGTCGTATGCATGAGAGTGTGAATGACAAACCTGTATACCTTGATAGAAAACGAATTGGGAATTAAAACGTCTGTGGCTGTCCAAACTGTATAATTTGGGGATAACTGTTGGGTTTGTGGTTGCTTAAACCATATAACCCATTAATAACAATTAGGAACATAAAGCTAAAGTGATTAATTGTGTGACTGAACTGAAACGTTTGAGCTGATATGATTGAACTGTGGTGTTTGATGTTTGACCTAGCATAACACTGGTTTTGAATAGTTGTGTTGAAACAATTCGGTTTATTATTTGATTCAGTGTTTGATGTTTGACATAGCATAATACTGGTTCTAGGTGTTTGGGTTGAAGCTTTTTGGTTGATTATTTGATGTAACGTTTGATGTTTGACCCTGCAAAATACTGGTTAAACAATTAGACTGAAATAATTCGGTTTATCGTTTAAATATAAACATGCACCAACTTTAACTAATTAGGTGGGAATAATTTGATTTAAATAAATAGATTAAAGTACTTTAAATAACGACAGAATATTGGAAACACAAAACACAACTCCTCTAAAGAGCCTACTTCCACAGGAGAGGAAGGAAGAGAGAGTTGCAAGGGGAGGGGCTGGAGACAGGAGAGAGAAGGGGGGTGATTTAGGTTGATACAAACAATTATTGAGGGGGTTAGGACTGGGGATATCTGTATCATGTTTTGTGTGTACTAACATTTTAATGGTATTACTATTACCCATTTCATTACTATTACCTATTTCAGTTTTTAAACTAAAAATATTAAACCATTAACATTAAAAGCACCTTTTATACAAAATATTGGAGTCAGTAAGGTTTTAAATTACAATTAAGAATAAATAATAAAGTTCTTAAAACAAAAGTATAGATACAACAACATTGGCAAAAATGACAGATAAAGTAATTAAAGTGTTGAAATCCGCCCTCGAGATAAATGGGGGGAAAAGACGGGAAGGAATGGAAGAGGAGAGGAGAAAAGTTATACAAAGAATGGATAACAGATGGATGGATAATGGCAATGAATGGAATCCCAGGGGAAGGAGAACCAAGGACAATACTGACAGCCCTGAAGAAGAGAACAGAGAAGGCAGTAAGTGAGTGGAAAGAGGAAGGAGAGCCCCTCAAAGGGAAGTCCAAAGACGCGATGGAGAAAGCCAGGTTAAAGGAGCGGATTGGTTTGGCTATGTTGGAGAAACTGAAGAAAATGTGGGAAGACAAAGCACCACCCAAGATAACAAATCGGTTGTATCCAGCCCTGCCATCGGCCCCACCACCGTATGAAAACCCTCCAAAAACAATGGCACCAGTGTTGGAACTGACTGGGCAGGTACAGTATCAGCAGAAAGACGGCGTGCTGCAGGATACCATGGGTGGGTGAAGAAGAGGTGAATAGACAAAGAAGTGACATCGAACAGATGTTGAAAACCGCACGAGAACTGAAAGAACAGATTTTCTCAGCTGAGTAGATCTGGATAAAATCAGGAGTAGGGAAAAGGAAAAGACTCAGAGAGAAGTACAGAGTACCGGGACTTGTGTCGAACCGGAGCAAGTGAGAGAGAGAATGAGGAAATAGGAGGTAGAAGTACAGCCAGTTCAACCATTTATGACAACAATGCCGAATTAAGAAAGGAACTGAAAGTACTGGAAAAGCAGGTGAGAGAAGACAGAAAGGAGCTGGCACTCACATCACTGCAAAGAACACCAGAGCCAAGGGGGGGCCATTGTATTGATTTGGGAGAAGAAGAGGAAGAGTATGAAGACGTAAAGCAGACAAAAATGCTCTATGGAGCTTTTCAAGGAGATATTTGGGATGAGGAAGGGCCTGCACAACGCACACGGGCCAAAAACTCAAGGGAGGGGGGGTAACTGTGGGGGTCAGTACCCTCTGAGAGAAACAACAGGGGGAGCTTCAGTATACAAACCCTGGCCACACAGGGATGTGCAAACTCTGGTTGACAGTTTACCCCAGCCTGAAGAATCAGGACACAGGTGGGTGAAGGCTTTTGAGAGCCTTACTGCAGCAGATGAACTCACCATAGGGGATATGGTGGCAGTGATGAACAGGTGCATGGGAGATCATGAATGCAAAGAGATACTCATACAAGCAGGCCTGAGAGGAATAGTAGGAGCAGCAACTGGTTTTGATCGATACCGAACTGTCATATGGGATGCAGTTAGAAGGAAGTATCCCACTCAGGCAAGGCCAGATCTCATGAGAACACTGACGCTGAATGATGATGAAACCATACCAGCCTACATGAAGAGGGCAAAGTGCCTCTGGAGACAAGCATGGAATGAAGAGCCCACCAAAAATACAATGAGTCACATCTTCCTTGCAAACTGCCTGGGGGGACTCCCAGACCAGGCCCGGGTAGAGTGTGAAAAGGTTGTGGCACTCACAGCAAAATCCATCCCAGAGTTCACAGAAATAGCCCAACATCATGTGGAGCGATGGAGGGAAGGCAAGAGGAAGGAGGAAGATGAACTAAAGCAGCTACAGAAGAAAGTTCTGAAAAAACAACTGGCTGAAGACAAACCAAGCAAACAGATGGTTGTGACCAGTACCCCGAATCCACAGGGTGTGCCAGGTATTGATCCAGCTGCAGCCGCGGCTGCTGCAGTAGTACAGGCAATGGCTGGGATGATGGCACCCCAGATGATGGCTCCTGTGGGGCCAAATGGGTATTTCTCTGTCAGGATGTACACAGAACCAGACCCACCTCAACAGCCTGGCTATGCACCCCGCAGATACGCAGATAGAGGATGTTTTAATTGTGGGAAAGAAGGACACATGGCAAGATTTTGCCCACACTCACACCAGCTATCAAGACAACAAAAAGGAAGAGGGTATGGTGGACAGCAAAGAAGAGGAATGCCAAGGTTCCGACAGGGACGAGGAAGCTGGCAAGGAGGCCCCCAATTTCAATCACCTCAACAATACCCTGGAGAAAACAATGGGCAGCCTCAACCAGTGCCCAATGCTGCACTGCTACCAAGTATGTCATGGATGGGAATGCAACACCCCAACCAGGACCCCCAATGAAGCTGCCCAGAAACCCAATATAACCTCACCATCAACATCTACTCATTTCCACCAGGGTCAGAATCGGTAGTGTCATGTTTAATTGGAGGAGGAAAACATAATATGATGATTGATACAGGATGTACATGGTCTTCTGTACAAGCATCATATCCGCTCACTACCAAGACACAAGCTTTCTCTGGGGTTTCTGGGGCAATTATGAGAAAGCCATATACAGTTCCATTGGAAGTTGTATGGGATGACCTGCAAGTAACTCACCAGTTTCTCTACAATCCAGAGTGTTCGGTGGGGTTAATGGGAAGGGACTTGCTCTCCAAGCTGGGATGCAGCATCTATTGTAACCAAGAGGGACTGCATGCTTCTATCACACCTATTGATGAACTCATGCCAATACTCATGAAGGAACTCTCTGATCCCCCACGCATGCTGTACATGGGAACACACTCAGAAGAGGAGGAGGAGGAAGAAGCATATGTGTATTGGCTGAAGTTAATGGATACTGACCCTGATGCTCCCAGAGTATACAGAGAGTTTCCAGCTATGGAAGGCATGGATACAGACTTTGAACGCATACTACCCTCCTGAGGACCCTCCACACGTCACAATGAACTACACCAGGGACCTGGATGAAGCATATGATGAAGCATGGGAAGAAGAAATGGAGGACAGACGACCAAGTGAGACAAGCAATCACATGTACATACTCAAAGAAGGAGTGGCAACCAGTTGCATGGTAATGGATGGAGATGTGGTACTGACAGACAAATGGTATGCACTTCCTGGTGACTCTGTACCACATGTTACTCTCCTAGTAGCGTTTGGCTATGAGGCAAGATCATTGGGACCAGCAGTAAAGAAGGCAAGTTGCCTGCAGTGGAGCAAGAGCGCCTGTTACAAGATACAAAGCTCAGTCATGGATGGAAATCAGGTTTGGAGAATCTTACTAAACGTGGATGACATTGGAAAAACCTGAAGTGGTGAGAAGATCTCGTTACCATGGAAGAGAAATGACTGACCATCCAGACACGGTCAACATCTTCAACCAGTTACCAGAACAACTGTGGACATTAACTGCAGAGGATGTGGGACTAGTTGATGTAGAACCAGTGGTGGTTTCAATTATAAAAGACAGTGGCCTTACTATTCCAGTTTGCAAGCGCCAATACCCACTCAGTGAAGAAAAGACAAGGGGAATTGAGCCTACAATATCAGGACTTCTAAAAGGGCAAGTAATATATCCAACCTGCTCCAACTGGAACACTCCAATCTTACCAGTAAAGAAAGGTGACACTGGAAAATGGAGGATGGTGCAGGACTTCAGACCAATCAACGAGGTAACTGTACCGGACATTAGACCTGTACCAGACCCATATCTGGCACTGCAAAACATCTCACCTACCCAAGACTGGTTTACAGTGGTGGACCTTGCTAATGCATTTTTTCTGCATTCCGTTACACCCAGAGTCTCAACCACTATTTGCATTCACCTACAGAGGACAGCAATTCACCTATTCTCGTCTTCCACAAGGATATCGTGATTCCCCAGGAATCTTCAACGCTATCCTGAAGAGTCACTTGGAAGAGTTAACATTACCAGAAGGGGTGACACTGCTTCAATACGTTGATGATCTCCTGTTGGCAGCACCAACTGCTGAGTCTTGTTTGCAGGCCACCAAGTCCCTTCTTCTCTTGGTAGCTAAGAAAGGGTACAAAGTGAAGAAAGAGAAAGTGCAGTGCTGTAGGAGAAGTGTACAGTTCCTGGGGAGAGTACTGTCAGGAAAGGGACAAGCTGTCTCTACGGCCCAGAGGACATCAATTTTGGAACATCCCAAACCCACTACTGTACAACACCTTTTGTCATTTCTTGGCCTTACTGGATACAGCAGAACGCACGTGCCAGAATACTGTCTTAAAGTGGAACCACTGCGAGCAATCTTGAGAGAAGCAGGAAACAGAAATCTCACAGCTGCCCTTAAGTGGACTCCAGAGGCAGAGGCAGCTTTTATCCAACTCAAACAGACGCTAGCGCAGGCTGAAGCACTGTCTTTACCTGATTACACCACGCCATTCTGTTTGGATGTTTCTGAAAGGGATGGTTATGTGCATTCCATCCTGTATCAGAAACAAAAGGGGGAGAGAAGAGTCTTACACTACTACAGTGCAAAACTGGACAACATTGAGACAGGACAAACTGACTGTGCCAGACACATGGCTGCCATTGCTAAAGCTGTAGGCAAAACAGCTCACATTGTAATGAGACATCCGCTTGAAATCAACACAGACCATGGAGTGACAGCTTTTGTTGGTTCTAAACTTTTCACATTGTCCAGCAAAAGGAAATCCAATATAACAAAGGCCATCACTGCAAAACACATTACCTATGTGACAACCACAACCAACATGACTGATGGCATGGGTCAGGGAGAACCACATGTATGTGAAGACAGAGCAGCCAAACAAATCAAGGTTCGAATGGACCTACAGAACTCACCTCTGGACGGCAACAAGACCACCCTGTTCACAGATGGATGCTGCTATAGGTCAAAAGACCCAAAGGAAGGGAATATTGCTGCCTATGCTGTGGTAAAGCAAGACAAGGAAGGAGAACACGAAGTTGTTGAAGCAAAAAGACTGGATCCCAATGAAAGTTCAGCACAACTAGCTGAACTTAGGGCATTGAGGAGAGCTCTACAACTAAGTGAAGGAAAGAATGTGGACATCTACACAGACTCTGCCTATGCACATGGGATTGCACACATTGATGGACCACAGTGGATGAGGAGAGGATTTGTGACCAGCTCAAATGAGCCCATCAAACACAAGGTTGAAGTACAGAAGTTAATTGATGCGATCCAGCTTCCCAAACGAGTGGCAATAATGAAGTGCAAAGGTCACAGCAGAGAAAGCAACCAGAGTGCGTGAAGGAAATGATCGGGCTGATCAAGCAGCAAAGGATGCAGGAGGATACACTGCCCAGCAGATGGTGCAACGAGCCACTCAAGGACAGGAGGAGTTGACGACAGACACAGTAAGACAGTTGCAAGAAGCAGCAGGCGCCTACGAACAGAACGTATGGAGCAGACAGGGAGCAAGGCAAGACCATCATGGGATTTGGAGATCTCACACAGGAAAAACAGTGGGACCTGCAAAACTCCTCAGATCAATCTTAAGGGAAGAGCATGAGAAGGCTCATGGAGGATGGAAAAGTGTCGCAAAATCAGTTGAGAAAGCATGGTGGCATCCACACATGTTGGACATGGCAAGAGAGACATCAGAGAGCTGTGAAGTGTGCAAACAATACAACAACAAAGTGTCACTTGGAGCAGTGATAGGCAGCTTCCCAATACCTGACGCGCCATTTCAAGACATTTGCATAGATTTCACGGACATGGGACAGGACAACAGAGTGGAAGGAAAAAGATACCTGTTGGTAATGGTTGACAGATTCACCAGATGGGTGGAAGCCATCCCCACAGCAAGAGAAGACGCAAAGGCTGTGATTAAATGGCTGAGGAGGGACCTCATTCCAAGGTTCGGGGTCCCGCGAATGGTCCGTTCCGACAACGGTACCCATTTCAAGAACAAACACCTGAGGGAGGTAGAGCAGGCCCTAGGAATCACCCACAAGTTCGGGTCAGTATACCACCCCCAATCGCAGGGACTCGTAGAGAGAGCTAACCAATCGCTGAAACGAAAAATGGCCAAAATCATGGCCGGAACTAAACTGAAGTGGGTAGATGCGCTGCCCCTAGCTCTAATGTCAATGAGAAACTCACCTGGGTCTGACACCCATTTAATGCCCCATGAGCTTATGACAGGACGCAGAATGCCAGGGCCACCAGCAGACAATCTTAGTATGCCTAGGCTAGATATTGCAAAAATCAGATACACAGACTACATGCAGGCGCTAATTTCTCTTGTTGAAAGATTGTCTAAACAGGTGGTGGAAGTGCGCACTCCTGCTGTTGAAACCACGGACGAGAACAGAGACATCCTGGTGGGAGATTGGGTGAGAGTGAAGGTGCATTCCAGAAAGTGGACGGAGCCAAGGTGGGAAGGGCCCTTCCGGGTAAAAGAGGTATCAAGCCACTCGTTGCGGGTGAACACGAGCAAGAAAGACGTGTGGTACCACAGGACACACTGTGCCAAGGACATAGTTCCAGGAAGGACTCTAGATCAGGTACAACAGGACTTGGCAACAGAAGGGGAGTGATGATGATGTTGTGGTTAGGAGTGGGGCTGGCCTTATGGGGAACAGTATTCTCAGCTCCCAATCAGTACCATAACATAGTCATTACCTTACAGGAAGGGGAATCTCAAGTGATGTCCCTAGAACCATGTAAGATCTGGTCATGGAGGAATAGGGCTAGTGGAATTGGGGACACTGGTTGCAATTGGAACCAGAAGGAAAACTGTAACAAAATGTATCCCCATGTGTTAAAGAGAGGTACTTACAGTGGGGAAAAAAGTATTTAGTCAGCCACCAATTGTGCAAGTTCTCCCACTTAAAAAGATGAGAGAGGCCTGTAATTTTCATCATAGGTACACGTCAACTATGACAGACAAAATGAGATTTCTTTTCTCCAGAAAATCACATTGTAGGATTTTTAATGAATTTATTTGCAAATTATGGTGGAAAATAAGTATTTGGTCAATAACAAAAGTTTCTCAATACTTTGTTATATACCCTTTGTTGGCAATGACACAGGTCAAACGTTTTCTGTAAGTCTTCACAAGGTTTTCACACACTGTTGCTGGTATTTTGGCCCATTCCTCCATGCAGATCTCCTCTAGAGCAGTGATGTTTTGGGGCTGTCGCTGGGCAACACGGACTTTCAACTCCCTCCAAAGATTTTCTATGGGGTTGAGATCTGGAGACTGGCTAGGCCACTCCAGGACCTTGAAATGCTTTTTACGAAGCCGCTCCTGCGTTGCCCGGGCGGTGTGTTTGGGATCATTGTCATGCTGAAAGACCCAGCCACGTTTCATCTTCAATGCCCTTGCTGATGGAAGGAGGTTTTCGCTCAAAATCTCACGATACATGGCCCCATTCATTCTTTCCTTTACACGGATCAGTCGTCCTGGTCCCTTTGCAGAAAAACAGCCCCAAAGCATGATGTTTCCACCCACATGCTTCACATTAGGTATGGTGTTCTTTGGATGCAACTCAGCATTCTTTGTCCTCCAAACACGACGAGTTGAGTTTTTACCAAAAAGTTCTATTTTGGTTTCATCTGACCATATGACATTCTCCCAATCCTCTTCTGGATCATCCAAATGCACTCTAGCAAACTTCAGACGGGCCTGGACATGTACTGGCTTAAGCAGGGGGACACGTCTTGCACTGCAGGATTTGAGTCCCTGGCGGCGTAGTGTGTTACTGATGGTAGGCTTTGTTACTTTGGTCCCAGCTCTCTGCAGGTCATTCACTAGGTCCCCCCGTGTGGTTCTGGGATTTTTGCTCACCGTTCTTGTGATAATTTTGACCCCATGGGGTGAGATCTTGCGTGGAGCCCCAGATCGAGGGAGATTATCAGTGGTCTTGTATGTCTTCCATTTCCTAATAATTGCTCCCACAGTTGATTTCTTCAAACCAAGCTGCTTACCTATTGCAGATTCAGTCTTCCCAGCCTGGTGCAGGTTTACAATTTTGTTTCTGGTGTCCTTTGACAGCTCTTTGGTCTTGGCCATAGTGGAGTTTGGAGTGTGACTGTTTGAGGTTGTGGACAGGTGTCTTTTATACTGATAACAAGTTCAAACAGGTGCCATTAATACAGGTAACGAGTGGGGGACAGAGGAGCCTCTTAAAGAAGAAGTTACAGGTCTGTGAGAGCCAGAAATCTTGCTTGTTTGTAGGTGACCAAATACTTATTTTCCACCATAATATGCAAATAAATTCATTAAAAATACTACAATGTGATTTTCTGGATTTTTTTTTCCTCAATTTGTCTGTCATAGTTGACGTGTACCTATGATGAAAATTACAGGCCTCTCTCATCTTTTTAAGTGGGAGAACTTGCACAATTGGTGGCTGACTAAATACTTTTTTTCCCCACTGTATCTGTGTGAGGGAAAGTGGTGTCCATATTGGGACTATATGATCACAAATGTTGGCACCTTCTGGGAATGGCATAGAGGCTATCCGTATGCATTAGGAGATGCTTCTAAAGCAGCTAGGTTTTCAATGATAAGGGGTGTACAGGGGTCAAAAGGGGGTGCATGTAAAGGTGATGAAATCCTACTAACCATCCAAGACATTAAACTTACAGACGCAGGTGTGTACACCTTAGCAGCAGTACGATCCGGACCAGACACCATGGGTATGTTCACCATCGCAGTCACACCCAAACCTGCAGCTGGGGAGAGACAGACCCAGTTGGACCACACCCCCGCTCAAGGACCAGCTCAACTTCAACCCACTAAGGTACCAAACCCTGTTCAGGTGATTAATGTTAGGTATATAACGGACAGCGACCAATTGGGGACAGAAACTGGCTATGAAGGGAAAGAAAATATGTGGTTGGCATACATGAGGTATACGGCTAGGACACTGGCCAGGCAGAATTGTGTTTATCTGTGGGCATGCAAGACCTGGGTTGGCAACCCACCCATTCGCTTTAGGAGAAGGGGAAGGATGGCAGTGCATATTGGAAGAGTTCTACCATTCACTGCCAAACACCACCCTGTGCAAAGCCCTAAGTTTGATTTTCCCTGAGGTTCCCCCACAAAAGGCACCTGAGGGAGTTCAGGCTTATGGAGGTAATTAAAGTTGCATTACTGGAACAGGTAAGGGTGTTAACTATGGTAGGCTACCATCAGGGGATTGTGCTGTGAATGTAACCATGAACAGCACTTGGCCAATAGAGGGTAAAACCCAGACAAAAGGGGTGGCTGATGTGTGGTGGATCTGTGGACCAAATAGAAAACTAACCCCGATTCTAAAGGGGGACTGGCAGGGCACGTGTGCATTAGCTAGTTTAATGCCAACCGCACCAGCATATGGTCTCACAAGGGGTCTGAGGATCTCATCTCAGTACCTAATGGCAGTCAGGCTACCTCTGGCGAGCACATGGAGGTCTGTGCGGCCCCCCAAAGAAATGCCACCCCCACACCATGACTGACCCACCGCCAAACCGGTCATGCTGGAGGATGTTGCAGGCAGCAGAACGTTCTCTACGGCGTCTCCAGACTCTGTCACGTCTGTCACATGTGCTCAGTGTGAACCTGCTTTCATCTGTGAAGAGCACAGGGCGCCAGTGGCGAATTTGCCAATCTTGGTGTTCTCTGGCAAATGCCAAACGTCCTGCACGGTGTTGGGCTGTAAGCACAACCCCCACCTGTGGACGTCGGGCCCTCATACCACCCTCATGGAGTCTGTTTCTAACCGTTTGAGCAGACACATGCACATTTGTGGCCTGCTGGAGGTCATTTTGCAGGGCTCTGGCAGTGCTCCTCCTGCTCCTCCTTGCACAAAGGTGGAGGTAGCAGTCCTGCTGCTGGGTTGTTGCCCTCCTACGGCCTCCTCCACGTCTCCTGATGTACTGGCCTGTCTCCTGGTAGCGCCTCCATGCTCTGGACACTACGCTGACAGACACAGCAAACCTTCTTGCCACAGCTCGCATTGATGTGCCATCCTGGATGAGCTGCACTACCTGAGCCACTTGTGTGGGTTGTAGACTCCGTCTCATGCTACCATTAGAGTGAAAGCATCGCCAGCATTCGAAAGTGAACAAAAAATCAGCCAGGAAGCATAGGAACTGAGAAGTGGTCTGTGGTCACCACCTGCAGAACCACTTCTTTATTGGGGGTGTCTTGCTAATTGCCTATAATTTCCACCTGTTGTCTATTCCATTTGCACAACAGCATGTGCAATTTATTGTCAATCAGTGTTGCTTCCTAAGTGGACAGTTTGATTTCACAGAAGTGTGATTGACTTGGAGTTACATTGTGTTGTTTAAGTGTTCCCTTTTATTTTTTTGGGCAGTTTATTTTCCTCCATCCTTGCTTGGTAGTTTTCCTCCATCATTTGAACCTGTGTGATAACCAGCTCAGAGGTGGTGTGGTGCCTTTTTATGTGTTTAAATGAATACTCTATCTATGTCATGGTCTTCCATTTATTGCTCCTGGAAGCTTTAAGAATGACAGGTAAAGGAATAGAAGGGCACATCTCTCTGAAAATAACATTCTCAACCTAAAGTATGTGATGTGAGCTATAATAAGCAACTCCTGTTTACGTTCTTGGCCGATTCTGTGTGCATGCTATGGATCTCTGAACTTGTCATATGGTGACAGTGTACTATCTGAACAATATCCTACCTGATATTGAATACACCAATATTGAAGTAACTTTTGAAAGCACAAATCCAATGATGGAACCATATTCTTTAATGTCACCTCAAGGATGGCTCTCTCAATGCTGTGGCGGATAGAGCCAAGAAGGGTTAGAGAGAGGGGGTCATGGAGATGAGGAAAGCATGGGGTTGGATGGTCAGTACCAGTACTGTAGTTTCTCAGAATTCTGAGCATATCAATTCAGATTGTTTCAATTGTATGTATTTCTAATTAGACTCGCTAGCTATGGAGAATATATAAAGTTGTGAAAATCCTATTGGGGTACAGTAATAATGATAAAATATTGGTTGTAGCTGTGTGGAGTGTTTTTGTATTAGACTGATTGAAAGTAGGGGTTTCTTAGTAGCGGTGTGTAGTGTTAATTTTTTTACATTTACATTTACATTTTAGTCATTTAGCAGACACTCTTATCCAGAGCGACTTACAGGAGCAATTAGGGTTAAGTGCCTTGCTCAAGGGCACATTTACGTCATTTAGCAGACGCTCTTATCCAGAGCGACTACAAATTGGTGCATTCACCCTATAGCCCTATTTTTTTTTTTTTTTGGGGGGGGGGGGTAGAAGGATTACTTTATCCTATCCCAGGTGTTCCTTAAAAAGGTGGGGTTTCAAATGTCTCCGGAAGGTGGTGAGTGACTCCGCTGTCCTGGCGTCGTGAGGGAGCTTGTTCCACCATTGGGGTGCCAGAGCAGCGAACAGTTTTGACTGGGCTGAGCGGGAACTATGCTTCCGCAGAGGAAGGGGAGCCAGCAGGCCAGAGGTGGATGAACGCAATGCCCTCGTTTGGGTGTAGGGACTGATCAGAGCCTGAAGGTACGGAGGTGCCGTTCCCCTCACTGCTCCATAGGCAAGCACCATGGTCTTGTAACGGATGCGAGCTTCAACTGGAAGCCAGTGGAGTTGTGCGGAGGAGGGGGGTGACGTGAGAGAACTTGGGAAGGTTGAACACCAGACGGGCTGCGGCATTCTGGATGAGTTGTAGGCGTTTAATGGCATAGGCAGGGAGCCCAGCCAACAGCGAGTTGCAGTAATCCAGACGGGAGATGACAAGTGCCTGGATTAGGACCTGTGCCGCTTCCTGTGTAAGGCAGGGTCGTACTCTCCGAATGTTGTAGAGCATGAACCTGCAGGATCGGGTCACCGCCTTGATGTTAGCGGAGAACGACAGGGTGTTGTCCAGGGTCACGCCAAGGCTCTTCGCACTCTGGGAGGAGGACACAACGGAGTTGTCAACCGTGATGGCGAGATCATGGAACGGGCAGTCCTTCCCCGGGAGGAAGAGCAGCTCCGTCTTGCCAGGGTTCAGCTTGAGGTGGTGATCCGTCATCCATACTGATATGTCGGCCAGACATGCAGAGATGCGATTCGCCACCTGGTTATCAGAAGGGGGAAAGGAGAAGATTAGTTGTGTATCGTCAGCGTAGCAATGATAGGAGAGGCCATGTGAGGATATGACAGAGCCAAGTGACTTGGTGTATAGGGAGAAAAGGAGAGGGCCTAGAACTGAGCCCTGGGGGACACCAGTGGTGAGAGCACGTGGTGTGGAGACAGCTTCTCGCCACGCCACTTGGTAGGAGCGACCGGTCAGGTAGGACGCAATCCAGGAGTGAGCCGCGCCGGAGATGCCCAGCTCGGAGAGGGTGGAGAGGAGGATCTGATGGTTCACAGTATCAAAGGCAGCAGACAGGTCTAGAAGGACAAGAGCAGAGGAGAGAGAGTTAGCTTTAGCAGTGCGGAGAGCCTCCGTGACACAGAGAAGAGCAGTCTCAGTTGAATGACCAGTCCTGAAATCTGACTGGTTTGGATCAAGAAGGTCATTCTGAGAGAGATAGCAGGAGAGTTGGCTAAAGACGGCACGCTCAATAGTTTTGGAAAGAAAAGAAAGAAGGGATACTGGTCTGTAGTTGTTTGACATCAGTGGGATCGAGTGTTGGTTTTTTGAGAAGGGGTGCAACTCTCACTCTCTTGAAGACTGAAGGGACAAAGGCCAGCGGTCAAGGATGAGTTGATTTAGCGAGGTGAGGTAGGGGAGAAGGTCACCGGAGATGGTCTGGAGAAGAGAGGATGGAATGGGGTCAAGCGGGGCAGGTTGTTGGGCGGCCTGCGTCACTAGTCGCAAGATTTTATCTGGATAGAGAGGGAGAAAGAAGTCAAAACATAGGGTAGGGCAGTGTGAGCAGGACCAGCAGTGTCATTAGACTTACAAACGAGGATTGGATGTCGTCAACCTTCTTTTCAAAGTGGTTGACGAAGTCATCCACAGAGGAGGGGGGGGGGGGGGGGGGGGGGGGGGGGGGGGTTCAGGGAGTGAGAGAATGTGGCAAGAGCTTCTAGGGTTGGGGATGCTTGGAATTTAGGGGTGAGAAAGTGGCTTTTTCAGCAGAAAGTGAAAGAAAATGTTGAGAGAGTATGAAAATTGCCAGGTCGGCGGGAGTTTAGTTTTCTTCCATTTCCCTCAGCTGCCCGGAGCTCTGTTCTGTGAGCTCGCAATGAGTCATCAAGCCACGGAGCTGGAGGGGAGGACCGAGCCGGCCGGGAGGATAGGGGACACAGGGAGTCAAAGGATGCAGAAAGGGAGGAGAGGAGGGTTGAGGAGGCAGAATCAGGAGATTGGAGGGAGAAGGATTGAGCAGAGGGAAGAGATGATAGGATGGAAGAGGAGAGAGTAGTGGGAGAGAGAGAGCGAAGGTTGCGGCGGCGCGTTACCATCTGTGTAGGGGCAGAGTGAGTAGTGTTGGAGGAGAGCGAGAGAGAAAAGGATACAAAGTAGTGGTCGGAGACATGGAGGGGAGTTGCAGTGAGATTAGTAGAAGATGAAGTCAAGCGTATTGCCTGCCTTGTGAGTGGGGGGGGGGATGGTGAGAGGGTGAGGTCAAAAGAGGAGAGGAGTGGAAAGAAGGAGGCAGAGAGAAATTAGTCAAATGTAGACGTAGGGAGGTTGAAATCCCCCAAAACTGTGAAGGGTGAGCCAGCAGTGATGAGAATGTGGCAAAGAGCTTCCTAGGGTTAGAGGCAGATGCTTGGAATTTAGAGTGGTAGAAAGTGGCCTTAGCAGCAGAAACAGATGAAGAAAATGTAGAGAGGAGGG